TCAGAACATAAAAGTAATACTTTAAATTTCTATCTTCATGTTGGTGAGTTGGAGCCCGTCTCGAAATGTCCTGAGGTGGTCCTGGGGTGGTCCTGAGGAGGAAATCAAACAAAATGTTAACAGAATTTGTTCTGGTTTATTTTGTTACAAAATAATATGAACAAGTTTAACGTATTTATGATGTCATTATGTTCTGCTCAATGTTTGTTCTTCTTTTTAAATGTATAAAAATCTCTGAGCTACAGACTGTTGTTGGCTTTTTCAGCTTGTAGGAATTTGTCGCCCACCTCCCCCCTTGTGTGTGTGTGTGTGTGTGTGTGTGTGTGTGTGTGTGTGTGTGTGTGTGTGTGAGTTTTCTTACATACACAAATCCCACAATAAACCACATAAAGCAGCCTTTGAAAAAGAGGGATAAAGCCAAAGTCTGTTTTACTGAGAACTAATTGTCTCCAATTTGAAGTTTTTGCTTTCAGTTTTGAGTTGATGCTTTCTTTGGACTGAGAATCTAGAGAGGTGCTATTTGGTGTTTTTAAGTTTAGATGTGTACATTTTTAAACACATGTTTCTCAGTCTGTTCTCTTCATTCTGTGAGAAAGAAATCTTTTATTTAAAAAAGTAAATCATTTTTTTCTGGGAGTTGCTTTGCACAGATCTTTACATTTAGTGTGATAAGGAAACATCCACTTCACGTTATAAATTGTTGACTAAATCAAAACAACACAAAAAGTAAGCAACTTTTTTGTTTTAGTTGAATATTGCTTTTTGTACACAATGTTTTTTAACATTAATTTTGTAATATAAGAGAAACCAGACCCAAAAAAGTGTTTATTTATTTGTTTGTTTATTTATTTGTTTATTTATTTATCATTTGTTATGTGTGGAAAAATTAGTTCACATTTCTTTTCTCCATGTGGGATATTACTTATCATTTTATGATGATGAAAAAATGTACTGATCATAGATGCTCAAACAATGTGGGGACTTTTTTTAGGCGGCAGTGCCTTAAACTAGTTCTGTAGGTCAAATTTACCTTTACAAGAAGATTTTCTTTAGTTTAGTTTAGTTTAGTTTAGTTTAGTTTAGTTTAGTTTAGTACAGTTTAGTATATTTTAGTATAGTTTAGTTTAGTTTAGTTTCCCTATAAGTTTAAAGCATTGCAAATTAAGTAAAGATGTCATAAAAAAGTTTTAATTTGCAGGAAAAATCAAACACTTTTAACAAATGTTAGAAACAGTAAAGCAGGGGTGCTCAAACATTTTCCTTGAGAGGGCCAAAATGAAAATCCATAGGGGGTTGCGGGCCAAATGCAGTAATATAATACATGAAATACAAATACTTTTTAAAGTAAAGTTCTTTATTTTTAACTATTATGCTGTGCAATGGCCCTCTTTTGTTTTATTCTGTGCACTTGCAGAAAGTCTGCCATACGCTCAAGTAGCAAAGGCTCATGGGACATTTCATAAATTGATAAAATATGAGTTTTTGTGTCCTTATAAAGTTTGCAAATCTACATGTGGGTTAAATCTGATCGAAATATGTCTTCTTGTCATTTCATGTTTCATGTTAATCCTATTAAATCAAAGATAAAGTCAGCCCCATGAATGAAAACCACCTTCACAGCCCTTTTATAAAGTCATTTGACCAATGGAAATACTGTGTTTCTATAGGATAACAGGTTACAACCTTGTAACTTTGGCAACTGTTGGTGGGCCAAATCAAATGGCTTTGTGGGCCAAATTTGGCCCGCGGGCCCTACTTTGGGCTCCTCTGCAGTAAAGTTTTTAATGTTTGACACCAGTGAATATTTCATGAATGAGCGCTTGAGTATTTACAGAAAAAGCATCAACTAGAAATATGACTTCTACAAACTTTCCTGTCTGCTCCCTGGACTTGGTGATTCTTGAAATCAGGCCATTTCCCCTAAATCACTCAAATTTCCCACAATTGTTCTTTTCCCTTTTTAAAATAATCCACACCAGATTTAAGTAGCACATAGGCGCCATCTAGTGGCATAAAGTTTCACGTTTGAAGAAGACCTTTGCTGATTCTGAGAAACCCTGATCTTTTTTTTTTCACATGTTGCATGAAATAAAGTGAACCCACATGTCTGACTCTGATTCCCAGGAAAATTGTTTCTATATTGAGCTGTTTCAGAGCAGGACAAGTGAAATTGATGTGGGGGTATGTTGAAATCACAAGGAGTTGGATCAGGAACAAACTCACACACATGCTGGTGTTTTATCTGTTTGAGTACATCTGGATCGGTGGGGATAAATAAACGTGTATTTTGGAGTGGAGCTGCTCAGCGTCGTGAGGGTTTCACAATCAGAGAAAGTTATTGAACTTTAGCCCAGAGGCTTCATCAGCTCCCAATCATGTGCAAAGTTGGAACTTGTCATCTGGTTCTCATCCAAAAAGCTGCTTTACAGGAAAACTGATGCAAAAATTGTGTCGGCAGGTCTTTTTTGCTGCAGAAATAAGGTCAGTTTCTCACAGGAAAACCGTTTATTACGAGTAACATAATGGTTTGAATAAATCCAGGGATTAGGTGTTATTCAACAGCAGAGTGAGAGTTTGTACAAATTATTGTGCGACTTGGGAGAATTTACAACAAGAACCAGTTGAAGAAGGGTCTGTTTATTTATTGCAACCATAAATGGAGTTTGACCTCCCGCTGACACTTTAAACTGAAACCAGGTGTGGAAGGTTTAATCTGGATGTTTTTTATTGCTATTTGCAAAGCAAGTTTCTGTGAACCAGCTGACTCATATGTGACTGATGAAGTCAGAGCAGGATGTTTGAGGTAAGATGACTGATTCAGCAAGAAAACACAATGAGCTGAAAATAAACTCTTGTAGCAGACAAGACCACTTAAAAATGATTCAACAAATACCTCAGTCAGAAAAAAAAGCTCTGGTTTTATAAACAAATCAAAATAAAGATCATAAATTCAACATGTGGATCAGGAATGTGTTGTTTTCCGTTTCAAAGTGAGAAGTTTCGACATGTTTTCTGCTTTTTTAGCACATAAAGTAAACAATTCCTGAAAGTGTCTTTGTTTGGGGGGGGGGGGGGGTTTCCATCTGATCTTCCTGTGAAAACGACTCAGAATCCTGCGTTACGTCTTCAGGAGGTTTCATTATAGATCGGTTTTTAAATTCCCTGTTTCGTTTGCTTTATTTATTTTATTTAAAATAATTTTGTTTTATTTGATATGTGAGGTTTTTTTTTTTTTCTGGTGCTCATTTGAACCAAACTGAACCAAAAGGTCATTTTACATGAACTTTTTGCAGATATACAGTTTTTGTCTTCTTTTTTTTTTTCATTTTATCACAGTTTTGATGTGATTTTTGTGTTGAAGACTTACTTTGACAAGATCATAATTATACATTATAATTATATTATTCATTTTAAAACAGTCCATCTCTGTATAGTTTGGTCACTTGTGCCATCTTCTTTTGGATTGTTTCATATGAGTCTCTTTTCATATTAGTTAAAGACACAGTTTCACCTCCAGATGTAGAGAGCTGCCTTCTCCAAAAGTACAAAAGTACCATGTTTCTCGTTAAAGTACCACAAGCTTTGCACCTCTAAAGCAGGGCTGTCAAACTCAGTTACAAGGGGACAAAAATCTAAACTTAGTCCAAGCCAAAGCCAATTTCTGTCAATATTTATTGAAGAAATGTTATATTATAACTTATTCTTAAAGAAATAAAAACGACCTTTTCCAAATTATGTTAGAACATAACCTAACAAATAAAGAAAAAAGATTGTATTTAGAAAATCGTCATTAGCATTGCTTATACTACTATTAACTTTTTTCATTTATTACATCTTAGATACATTTCATCACAATCCAGAATAGTATATCAAGTAAATTAAGTTTTTCTTTATGTAATCTCATTTTGTGTCTCCTGGGGGGACATAGAATGATTTTTCATTTTTTATCCTTACTTATCCTCATATGGTTTTTCTTTTTTCTTTAAGGGTAGCGCCTAACATGGCTGCTGGACCCGGGGCACCTGTTCTCCAAATGTGTCTGTATCTCTCTGAATGGCTTGTTCTGAACTGTAATTTCCCTTCATGGGATCAATAAAGTATCATTCATTCATTCATTCATTCATTCATTCATTCATTCAAAACGAGAAAACCTTCACTGAAAACCCAATCATTTGACTTTTAAACAAAAAAATATGCTGAAAATTATAATTAAAATAATTTCTCTGTTGCTTTTTCCACACAAAAAAACAAAGATTACTGAAAAAATCCAAACGAGTTTTCTTGGCTTGAAGCCGGCTGAGAAGACAAAGCCAAAGGGAGAAACTTCACATTTGAATTATTACCTTAGGGGCCGGATAAAATGGTAATGAGGGCCAAATTTGGCCCGCAGGCCCTGAGTTTGACACGTGCCCTAAAGGTACAACTAAGTTTCATTTTTAGCTTTTATGGTGAAGTCTAATCTGTTAATACATGAGAGAAAATCTGCTGCTTCCTCAGAAGAAAGCCCCCAGTGGGGGGGGGGGGGGGAATAAAAAGTGTGTCACTGCTGGCCTGCAGGCCCACACACATCCTTCTGTGTGGATGTGAGAAATAAACTCACCATAAGGTCACAGAGGGATGGCAGAGTTTGACTCCTGGATCGAAATGCGTCATCACATTCCATCTTGTGGCAGTCGGATACAAATCCATGAGCAAACAGTTAAAATAAACTTTTTTCATCTCTGCGTGATTTGGGAACGTCGCGCTGTGAGAACATGAAGAACATCATCCCCTCTGTGAATACTGATGATGACGCGCTCTCTGCTGCCCCCCGCTGGTTCTCAGCGGGTACTGTTGGTGTTACGCATGAAAACCCTCTAATCTCCTTACAACATGCCCTGTGCGCGCTCACGGACACACGCGTACTAAATGTGGCTCCTAAATAAGCTTCTTAAAAAGTGTTCTAAAAAAAATAACAACAACAACAATAATGATAATACATAATCTATTTATTTATTTTTCTGCAAAAACAGTCCAGATAATTCATGAGTGAACATTTTGATAATGAAAGGGGCTGAAGTTGTTTTATTGAAGGGAAACTGAAGAAGATAAAGCAGCGCTTTGGAGACGGCACGGCGCCTCGCCGGTGCGTCTTTACGCACGGATCTGAACGCCCACCGCGGAGATCCGAGGAGCCGGATTGGCTGCTAAAGATACCAGTGGCTCTGCGCGCCCTGTGATTGGCTGCGGCTCTCCTGGCCCTAGTTAACTCCACACACACACACACACACACACATACACACACGCACACACACAGGCAGCTGGAGAGAGGGAAGACGTAATGGTTTGATTCCCTGTGCACTTGCAATGGTCGTCGCTCGGACATTACTCGGCAGATTCCTCTAACGGGAGGAGAAATGAAGGTTTGTGCTTCAGTTTAAACGCATTTATTATTTATTTATTGTGTTGTCTCAAAGGTGTGCACGCGAGGCTGCAGGGATAGGCAGGGGATACCCTTCAGCTTAAAGCAAATTCAGATCAATTTGTCCTCATCGATGCATCAACAGGCTAAAATCCTCCACGGTTTGCACTTTTCATCTGGATTATTTTCTATTCCGGTGCTGTTAATTTGTCTTTTAATGTTGTCATTGGAGCTTGTAGTGGACTGTCCTCATGCGTGTCCGTCCCTGAGCAGTAGGTACACTGTGTAGCCCTTTAATGAGCCTGCGTTGACCCCGGTGTGATAGTGTAGTGGACTAAAGCCTCGCAGCGACGTCCATTCACCGTCAGACGGCAATCCTCTCTAACCGGATAGAAGCTGCGCTCAGTCAGAGCCGGAGATGTTTGGGTCCGGATCAGGACATAGGACCACCTCTCAGGTCCGGGCAGGAGCAGGACCCCCCCCCCCGGCTCCCCTTCTCTGTGGGC